AGGCTCTGTAGCACCGTCGAGGATCCTGAAATACTTTGAGTAGATTTTAACTCCAAACTGTGCCCGGGCAGCGCCGAAAGGCTACGCTTTTCAAGTTCTAACTGCCAAGGGATTTTTCAAGTGCGGTACAATGCACACGGGCGTCCGATCTCACTACCCAGAGACCAAGGGAAATACTAGACGTCCAAGTCCAGGTGAAAAATCCCAGTCCTTACCGGGCATTGAACCCGGAACCCCCAGCACTTTCTTAACTGATGCCCACCAAGTCTGCCAGACTGTGAACCTAGGTAATTTTGTTTTGCAGGACTCTGCCCACCAGCTTGTATGATGTTATGGAGTCATGCTTTTTATCGTATTCGTCCTCGCGATATGCGTCATGCATATTTGATGACACTATTTATTTCTAGCATTGACCAATCATAGTCTCCGCAGTGTGCACCAGATAATCTATTTGTTCGTTGCCTCGACCACGCGCATTATGCGGTACAATAATAAAAGTTACACTAGCAATGCTATCTTCCCTTGTATTCACCCATTCCCCAAGTTTTCGTATAAAATACCAAGGATCTTGCGAAACAATCTCATTATTGATAACATCTTCATCCGCATGGTGGCACTTTGTGTCACCTGGTGTTTATCGCTCTGTGTGATGTCCTGGTGGGGTAAAATTTACTTACACCGATAGCGAATGTAAACAGTACAAAAGTAAAGGACAACGTTCTCGTCCTTGATGCACAAAACATGTAGTGGTACACGCACAAATTATAGACCAATCAGCACTAGGCGTGGTCAACATTACAAAGGCCGCCTTTACTTCCCACAGCTTTCAAGGTAGCAATTTGAGGCTGAGTAGGCCTGAATACCAACAGGAAAGTGTCTAGCCAACTGCACTACGGCGCTTCCTCATTAGCGGACGCCTAAGCTTCGATTCGTCTATGAGTCGATTCGAGGTGTATTTGATAAAAACTGATAAAATCTTCTTCTTCTGTTTCTTCTTCCTCTTCTGTTTCTTCTTCTCCTACTCTTCTTCTTATTCTTCTTCTTTCTTCTTCAGCGTCCCGAGTCCTTGATGTTAACTGCTGCAAATATCACCCGCCTCCATTCATTTATACTATTGATTTTCTTTTTCCAGTTGGCGACTCAAAGTATCTGTACGTCTGCTGTGATTGACACAGATTATGAATTTTCTTGAGGCTTTTCGCTCTCCATTCTTCGTCGTTAGCCTCTCTGTTGGGTCTAAAGATTCGTTGTAAGACTTTAATTCGTAAAATTTGTAATAAAGTTTCGCCTCCTTTAGTTGTACTTCCGGTCTCAGATCCATACCGGACTTTTGATCTTATCAATATTTTATATTTTGTGATTTTCGTATTATCATGCTGGTATGGTTCTATCTAATACTGTGAGTTACGGGGAAGGGTGATTTGGTATTCCTTCTTGTTATGGGGATGTCAGATATGAGCCTAACTTCTATCATTAAAGTAGTTCGGAAACTAGATAGTTTCTTTGCAAAGCGGGATGGGGGGGGGGGGGGGGAGGACAAAGAAAAGTGTTTCATGATTCAGATCACGTGTCTAAACTACCAGTGTTTACTGACTCCACTTTTCCCGCCTTGCTGATGTAGTTCACAGCATTTACTGAACGTCTGAAACTTGAAGGTAACAGTCGCAGGTGACTGACTCCGCTGGGAAAACCCGATATCGATTTTTAAAAAAAAACAGTGATCTCACCACGCCCTAAACACCATAGGAGGAGTTCGATAAAACGTGGACAGTATGACTTCTACTTCAACACTCAATGACATTCCTCTTCTTTTCTTCTTCTTCTTCCTTTTCTTCTTCTTCTTCATCATGATCTTCTTCTTCTCCTTCTTCGTCTTCTCTGCTTCTTCTTCTTCGCGTTCACCGGTTGTTACCTCCGGACGAAAGTTGTGGTTGTCGGTCGACTTCACTCTTATTCCTAAACTGGAGTGTTACGTGCATGGTCATTTTACAAATCTGACATTTGTATGCAAAATGTTGGTTTCTTGCCTCTCAGGCATAAGCGCTCCGACTTTGAAGGAAGTCGGCAATTAGCAGACTCTTACTATATGCTTGTTGGGAAGACAGTGCGTCTATTCTTATTTTTCCCCACAATGGAGCCCTAGAATACACACTGGGAATACCATTTGATGTTACAGCATTTTTATACAAGATTTATGTTGTTTCAAAATCTCAAAGACCTTGAGGTTCGATTATAGCCTTAAGACAGCCTTCCCCCCCCCCCCACCTTTCTTTTCCCCGTTTAAACACAGAAAATCTGTAAAAGGACTAAGATCTCCCCAACCCCCCCCCCCCTCCCCACCACCGATTTTCTTCGCGTCGACGCCCCTGACCTAGATTTACTGCTCGAAATGTAACTAACTATACAAGATTTTTAAAAAGCTGACCTAAAGAACCAGCATCAACAAAAATGTATTCTCGAGTTCCGCATCTCTGCTCTCTTTGACGGTGTCCATGACACACTGCCTAGGTTGCACCCGAGCAGGATCGTGGAGGTCACACTGGTTCAAGAGGTGACATGTTTGTATACTGCCAGAAGATAACCGCCGATGCCCGTATTCTGGGTGGGGATGTTGGATAAATATAGCTGACCCTGTTGCCTATATATGGAAGGCATCTGTCTGAAGCCGATCCAGAGAATTTCAAGGGTCTAGCATCTGTTCATTTGCATGACTGCACCTAAAGGGCAAGCAATGTTGCAAGTGAAAGGTACCCTGGTGGTAGATAGTAGCGTTGAATAGGACGTATGTTGAGAAAAACCTGAGAATAATGTGACTAGAATGTCTATATACTGGAAGCCCGGAGTTGGGAGGGGCCGGGGTTTAAGCAGACCAACAGACAATCAAAAGAAGAAAACACAGAGTCGATCTAAAAAAAAAAAAACCGAGGAGGACACGATGTGGGCTGAATGCGAAAACAAAGGATGATAGATTTGGCGTAAGCTGGTTGAGTGTTTATGCTTCATTTGGGAGAAAGAAGGGGGGGGGGGAGAGAAGAAGAAGAAAGGGAAGAGGAGGAGAAGGAGGATGAGGATGAGAAGAAGAAGAAGAAGAAGAAGAAGAAGAAGAAGAAGAAGAAGAAATAGTTTGCTTTTGGTACCATTTTCTCGTTCGCTAATATGTTCGTTTTTGTGCGCTCGCTCTTATGGCATCACAAGGCATTCACTAGTCGCAGTCTTCATTTATATGTTTAAGTATACTCTTTATTTATTTATTATATTTTTTTGGCTGCAAATTGACTATCGACGGGGGACTGACTCATAAACAAGTCACTTCTCTTAAACTGAAATAGCCGAACCTTATTAAACGCTGCCAAGTTTTCGATAAAATAGTACCTGGAATAAAAGAGTGGTCAGTTAGCACGACGACGGACAAAAGATATCAAAGACACCCTGTGCCTAAAAGTTCCCGCGACAGGATCACTGATAGCGGCGACCAGAGTGGCCTTCCGGCGCACAGTGATGAGAGCGACGTTCTGCAAAGGACCTGTCACGTGATAATTAGGCTGCTTATTACAAGTACATTATCGACTAACGACGTTATTATTTCTTCTTCTTCTTTGTTCACCGTTCGCAACTTCCCGCGGAAAGTCCCGGTTGTTCGTCCATTTGGACCCCGGCTTTGTGCCAGGGCTTGATTGTGCGTGTACCTCTGTTTTACTGTGTTATTTGGGTGCAGTTAGTTGTTCCCTTGGTGCTCGGGCAGATGCACTCCGACTTTGAAGGAATTCCCCAATTAGTCTATTCTTGTTTTCCCCCACAAAGGAGCACTGGAATCCACACAGGGAACGTTATAACTTGAATCGTTATCTGCGCAGTTAATTTCAAGCTCAACACCTCTTTACATGAGAACAGTCACAATTAATGGCTTTAGGGTCTTCAGCCTTATCCATGGCTTCAGGGCTTGCTACTCTTCCTACGTACTCGGCTGTATTTGTTTAGTGTAGGCTCCTCGAGGTCGGCTCTGTGGCTAAGTCTATGCGAACGCTTCTTAATGCCGGGTTCGATCTCAGCTGCGGGCCATGCGCCTTGCGTTTGTTTCGACAGTGGTATCAAGAAAGCCGACCGTCCAGAGGCAATGGCAAACTACTGGAAACCCACACAACAGCCAGGGGCTGTTGGTTCTGGTTCATCAACGTCCTGTAAAGGATACGCAACTAACCTAACCTAGGCTCCTCGAGAGTGTTCGAAAAAACAGACTGGATCCCGTTAAACCATCTTCATATTCACTCTAAATCTTGATGAGATCAACGACTGTATTTATCTGTCACAGCTGGCGTTACAATAGTTACATATTGTCTGCAATCTGTCATGTTGGTTTGACATCTATAATGAGATTTTGTCATCTCCAGATAGTATGATAAACCTTTAGGTAGCAACTCTGAGGGGAGAAATCAATCGAAATAAATAGTGCAGATGTTTCCGAAAGAAGCTGTGCCGTCGTCGGAAATGGAGATTCTGAGATTTTATTGACGCTATCATATGAGAAATCAAGCCACACGCGGTAAAATTCCATGTAACTAAATTGACTCTTTTCGCTTTTAAAACACTTCTACGGATGCTCATAAAATGTGAATAGTGCTATACCATCGTATCTCTGTGGCAAAGTAGCCAAGCCGTTTGCCTCGTGCTTTGATGGTAGTGGGTTTGTTTCAGGGCTTCGCCCTTCAGTATACGAGTGCAACTTTTACGGAGATTCCAGGGGATCGTCGCCGGAGCTACGGAATTCGTGCTCTGAACGGTGCTCTCGACAGGCGGCTAGCAGTTCTGCGGAGAGAGACCGAGCCATATTGGATTCAACCCGGTGCTATTAAGTCGTCGACGCTCTCGACTTTAACTTTAACCGTACTATTACTATCTGGTAAAGTCACATCATCTTCATCTGCAGACTTTTTCAGTACGTTACAAACACGAACCAACAGATAAACAACAATGAAGCTAAAGACACTAACGCCAGCCCTTACCTTGCCCAAAAGTCGACCTCTCAAATACGTCGTATCTGTTGAAGAGTCGTAGATGATATGGCTATGGTCGAACTGCTGCTGCAGCTGCAGATCCGTGGAATGTCCGCTAATATCCTGGTTGTTTCGAACAGATGTCGCCGTGGAGACCCTGTACGTATGAGTTAGCTGATGCCCAGAAGACGCAGCAGCACTGTGGTGAATAATTCTGTTACTGCCACCTTGCACTGAGCGGATATGTTCCTTCATGTTGCCCTGAGCTGCGGCGAGGGTCGAGGACGGTTTGGGAAGCAGTATCTCCACCGACATGTGTGCTCACAGCGATTAATTCACTGATGGATAGTCGAAAAGGTTCCAAACCTGGACATACATACACCCGCAGATGACCTGTGTCAGGAAATGTTTCCGGGTCTCTTTGAATCTTACGTCTACGGGCAGTAACTCTAGTGAACGACGACGACAGATTACAGTTCTATAGACATGCTGGAGTGGACACGATAGTTCGTCTGGTAGATCATGCTATATTCTGAAAACAAAGATAAGGGTATTCAAAAGTCAGACAAATATCTCCTTGTAAATTTTAACAACGCAGTCACTAAAGTATTCTTTCGTTTGCTTAATTTTATGGAATGGAATGGATTTTTTACCCCACCAGGACATCACACAAGCGATAAACACCCGATGACACAAAGTGCCACCATGCGGATGAGGATCACCGTGGAGAGGTCCCAGAAACCGCGTTCAGACATTTGGCCATAATGATGACCTGCCTATATTGCGGCCCCTGGCAAAAGCCAGAGTGGGGCTTCAAATAACAAAAAATAACGTCGTAAGAAGGACGAAAAGTATTAAAAATTGTTTTAGGCGACTACTTAATTTTATTCCACTGTAACCGCAATGTACACCTGAACAGATGAAAAATATGCAAGCAATAAATTGTGCCATCTGCTGTTTGCATCTTCTTTGTTTAAATACACCAAACTATCAATCTACTGACAGTGAAAAATTAATAAGTGCGACAAACTAGGCCGCCGAAGACTCTAGAGTTTGGTTCCCATGAAATTATAAAATAACGCGAAGCATAGTTCGTAGTGTTCCTGTTCCATATTTTGGTTCTCCATAAAACTACAGCCACTTATTATGGAGTACGCCGGAGTTCAGTCCCCTGGCAGCATTGCAATTACGGAGTGGACAAGAGGGAACGACACAAATGACGTAATTACTGTGTGTTGGCGATAGATGCACTGATGTAATAGGGTTAGGGTTTGGGTAAGGGTTAGGGTTAAGAGTGGCCGTAGTTTTAAGAAGTACCCCTACCCTAACCCTAATCCAAACGCTGTCTAAGGCTCACGCTGTCTATCGCCAATTGTTTCGTTCCCTCTTGTCCACTCAGTAATTACAATGCGGCCAGGGGACTGAACATCATTAACATCGACGTCTTAACTACCAACACTGGAATGTGCTCTATTTATATCTTCATTTCTAAATAATAATATTACTATGCATAGTTCAGACCACGTCCAGCTCCAGTATTAGAGAAGGCAGTGGTTCAGACTAAGGACTGGGCACAACAGACATCGTCAACATATGTTAAAATTTTTCCGTGTAGGCAACACAGAGACGTGTCCCTGCAGCGTGGCACCCGAAAATGCTGTGCATGTGCTCCAACACTGTCAACTGTATGCTGACAACAGAGACGCAATCTGGCCTGTCCCAGCCACAATGAAGACAAATCTGTATGGTACACGAGAAGATATGGACAGCACGATAGCTTTCATAAAGGCTACCGGCCTCCTGATATAAGTTTTCTGACAGAAGCATCGAAGAAGAAGAAGAAGAAGACTGTGCATAATAACTTTTGAGGGTTTCTTCCCTCAGAAGAACAAGTGCTGGTATGACTAAAAGCTTTCTATAAAATGTGCCGGTACACGCCACACAGTATCCGGGAAAAGTAAGCTCGGGTAATTACAATAAACTTGCAGGAAATATGCAACATCGAGCAAACTGCACGCAAGTAACACACTAGCAACTCCGTACACTTGACAAATACAACAAACTAGCAACTCTGTACACTTGACAAATACAACAAACTGGCAACTCAGTACACATGACAAATACAACAAACTAGCAACTCAGTACACATGACAAATACAACAAATTAGCAACTCAGTACAATTGACAAATACAACAAACCAACTTACAGGAGAGAATAACAGAACATGCAAAGTCACCAAAATCCATAGGATCGCAGGACAATCGACTACAAGAAAGCACATACATAATACAACACACACACACCGGGTGCTAACCGGCCAAGTGTTAGCTAGTGAAACAGAAGAAACACAGGCGCGTGTGTCGCAGTCAATGTTAATCCAGGGAGTCGCGTGTGTAACGGTTACAGTGTGGGAACCACCTGTCTGTGCGACACGACACAGACGTGTGTAGTTTACGGTGTGAAATGTGTTTCCAACCCAAAAGTGGTGACTGAAAGAAAACACTACGGGAGATGGGGGGGGGGGAGGGGAGGGGGCTTTAACTTTATATGACTACATCTCGTCGGCTTCGAGATTTGGTAGGAAATCCCCAGAGCGTCCCATAGTACGGGTGGAGAGGGGGTGTTTAACCTTACACCTTTTCTGTGATGGGGAAGGACAAATGGACCTAAGCCTTGTTTAAGTATTTAATAATAATAGTAATAATAGGAAGAAGAATAGCAAGTATGTTTCAAAGAATACTAAAATCTATCTTCTTCGCGATCACCGGCATTATACTCTAGCTGAAGGTTTTGGTTGGTCGTCCACTTCTCGACATTAGTCGTATTTCAGATCTTGAGTTTAGTGTGCATATTCGTTTGACACATCTGGCTCATTTGTATGCAGACTGAAGGTTCGTGGCCTCTCAGGCAAATGCACTCCGATTTCGAAGGATACACCACTAATTAATCGACTTTTACGACATGTTTGTTATGGGACGGTGGGTCTATTCATCTCTCCACCCCCCCTCCCCCCCCCCCCCACATGGGGCTCCGGAATCCACAAGGGAATGCTACCGTTTGAACAATGTACTAAATGAAATGTAGTTTTAAAAAAGGGTAGAAAATTATACGGAAGAGAAGAAAAGGGGTAAGAAAAAAATTAGTTAAGACAGCTTTACAAAATCAAATACAATGAACAAACAAAGGACATTGCGGTGATTAGCCCTTATCAGCAAACAAAGACAACACAGCCCAGACACAAAAATATACACTAACTATGATGTGATTACATCATAATATGATGTACAAAACTGTGGTAAAATCCTCAAGAACTACATGCTTTTAATAAGTAGATTTATCCATGTCGCTAGCGAAGGCATGAAATCTATCACTGCAAGCTTTTCTTGTATCTAATAGATAATATCCAAAAAACAAATTATGCAACAAAATATCTAGATGAAACATGATATTCCCACAGATAATAACCCACACTACCTGTTCCTCTATCAGCCAATATAAAACCTGACGTATGCAGTCAATATTGTGTAACTCTTGACACATAAAACCAGTGTCTTGTATCGACCTAGCCAACCACAGACACACTCGCACGGAAATACTCAGCTATTGACAACTACAGTCAATCCAGTGCAACAAACGGTCGCAAAGACACCTCCAATGCCTGACTGGAACCGGGCGGAAGGTAAGTGGGGATCATGGGAGAACAATATTTTTTCTCTAATTCCTCCTACGCCATGAACAGAAAGAAACTTGATCATGTGACAATTAAAAAGAGTTTTGTAGAAAGGGAGATACGGTAAGTCAAAGACATACGATTTTTGACAGCCTTCTGTCAAGGCATGGGTGCGTGCCAGCACACACACACTGATACGTGCTGGTGCCAGCACACACACACTGATACGTGCTGGTGCCAGCACACACACACTGATACGTGCTGGTGCCAGCACACACACACTGATACGAGCTGAATCTCAAGTTGTGAAGAGTTTTTAAAAGGGCAGGAAATTATAGGGAAGAGAAAAATGGGGTGAAAAGGGATGTCGCCCACGCCAGTCGACAAGCGAGCTGATGGTGAGGATGACATTCCTCTTCAGGGACTGCAATATGATGCTTTGACATCCATCGAATAAAAAGGCCACTATTAGGAATCAAACAGATAACAGTGGAACCTCGCTTAACGAACATAATTCGTTCCAGAATCATACTCGTTAAGCGAAACACTCGTTATGCGAAACAATTTTTCTCATATAAATTAATGTAAAATACGATAATGCGTTCCATGTCTAAAATTCAAATATATAAATATATATACACATGTTGTTAAAGAGAGTGAATCATCTTTATCTTTTCTTCAGAAGTGGAACGAACCCACCTGGAATGCGAATTCGATTTGCAGAAAACAAAAACAAAAAGTCGAAATATTTATGATACATAGCTAATTACATTTTTTTGTAAACTAGAAAGATGACCAGAGACATTTGTTTTTGCCGACGCTCCACAATTTGGCGAAAATGCGACACAGCATTATCATTAAATAAATTTGCAGCGCGCATAGCCATTTCCTTATTAGGGTGATGCTTCTCAATGTAAGATGCAACAGTTTCCCATGCTTTCAGCATTTTTCTTATTTCGCTAGAAGATTGTTGCTTTTCTGTTACCTCCTCTTCCTCCTCTAACAAACTTTCCTCCAAAACTTCTTGTTGTGAAACACAATGCAACTCCATAGGCTCTCCGTTGGTCAGCTCTTGGCTGTGCTCTTCCACAAGCTCTTCTATGTCACTGTTATCCACCTACAATCATATGATAGTGGTCAAAGACACAATCTCGTTGACTACAGGTTCCACAGGTACTGTCTCGAACCCCTCAAAGTCACAAATCGACAACGCTCTCCTGCCAAAGCTTCTTCCACGCAGAAGTTAGGGTTCTCTTGGTAACCCCTTCCCCCGCCTTGTCGATCATCTTGAGGCAGGCAACGATGTGGACGTGATTTTATCAAAACTCTTTGAGAGTGAGGTTGGTCCCTTCAGTCACCTGAAAACAATGCTCGAAGAGTGCTTTAGTGTATAGCTTCTTAAAGAAAAAGCCTGCTGGTCCATGGGCTGGAGTAACGGAGGGGTGCTGGGAGGTAGAAACTGGATCTTGATTAACTTAAATTCTTCAGGGAGGTCATCTTGTAGGCCTGGAGGATTTATGTACGTATATCACAATATAACACAAGTTTGAAAAAATGTGTCATCAAAAGCGACACTACGATGCCACTAGAACGAGTGCTAAACACAGACTGATGTAACGTGCGCAAATCCGGAACTTGCCATCT